TCTGCTATACTGCACACCACCCCAAGATAACTAGCAAGGTATTAAAGGGCACCGTCTCTGAAGAAATCTATCTGGGGTTCCATACATACAGTAGTACATCTTCCCAATATTATGCAAATGATGCCTAGCTTTGTTAGAACTAAAATACTTGTATTTTGAACATTGTAAGCTTTAGTTTGAAGCAAACTATGCAAGGAATGTTCTAATTCCCTCTACTTACTACCATCCTGAGATTTCTGTAGGGGAATTAAAAACCCCAAAGCTATCATAAGCTGTTTGTTTTCAGTCCACCAGCAGCTAGCCAAGATGTCTAACCCTATGGCTTCAACCTGGAGGTTCCAAGAGCCTAGATTTAAAATATACTTCTACATATTAATGTGGTCACAGCATTCAATATCTGTTAGTCATATCTTTTAACATAGACAAGTAGTCTGTACAGTAGGTCAGGGTGTACGATGGTACAAATACGATCATTAAATCTCAACAAAAATGGTAAATGGCAACCAAGGTTCATTCCATGCCATCTGTTATTGTATACCTGATTTTTATTGTAAATGCTAACTCAAATTATGTCAATGTTGTCAACCAGATGAGATACTGTAGGTTGTGTTTTAATATAATGCATTTATTTAAACAAATATTAATTATACAACTCTAAGGATTGTTTAAATACCATATTGTAATACAATTTATAATCACAGTTAATTATAATGTCAATGTTGTTAAGAACCATAAAATATATTTGGTATCTTAATTGCAAAACACATTTTCAAAATTTAGATTGACTTTATGAGGACAAGGTAAACACAGTGAAAATCATTCTAAAGAGTATTAACCATAGCATTTTTACCTTCAAGAACCTTCCTAATGGCCTTGGCTACTTTGAAATAAGAAGAATTACAAAATAGTTGAAAACGTTCTAAAATGCGAATAGTGTAGGATGAAGCTTACGACAAGATAATTCCACCAACTAAGATGACCATTAGCTGCAGCTTTCGCTTCAATTACTTAAGCTGCATTGAGAGATTCCAGATCACAGGTAAAACAATGCCATCAACTCTGAAGGCTTAACATAACCTTTGTGTATATGTCAAAGGGAGGCATTCAAAATAGAATTAACTGTTTATCCACAGTGCCTTTTGATGTTATGCAAGGGAGAGTCATGTCATCACTTTACAATCCAGCAAACATTACAAATGGCATTCATAAGTATTTTTAGCTCAAACAAAAAGAATTTTATGATAAACTGAAGGTAATTAAAAATTTGATGGCCTTTAACTGTCCACTGACAGCCAACAAACAACACCCACTTGAGAATTTGTCATGCCATTAAAGCTCACCAACAGCAAACTTTGGTTTTAATACCAGAAATATGCAGTTAATTGTGCATCTAATTTAAAGAAGACTATTATGTGATTAAAATGTTCATCAAGAACTTTCAGAAAAAAAAACATAGCATCAGATTTGACTTAACAAAAGAACTTGCTAACTAGTCTCAGCCAAAAGTAAAGTTTACACATTTAGAAATTCAACAATTAATAGTTTTACTTTATCTAGACAAAAGAAACAGAAGACATGTTGTCTTATTTACTTATCAGAAAATTTTCAGACAGAACAGCCAACCAAAAATTGTTTACACAAATTGTTAAATAGAAAAAAAAAATGTTCCATTAAATGAGAATAAATTAAGCAAAGCACATGCCTAGTAGATTGCTTAAAAAGTTGAAGCCTATCAAGTAAGCTCTCTGATTGTCCTTTGCAAATGCTAAAAAACATGTTAAATGATCAAGGTGGATTTCCTAAGAAGCCAAAGCTTACGAAGAAGCTCTCAGACTGTGGACTGCAAACAGTTTAAATTTGTAAACATCAATAGAAATTAATTTTTAAAAATTCACAAAATGAAAAAGCACAAGTTAATTTGAACACTTCAGGAGATACATTACGGTTTATAAATTAGACGAAAGTAACTTTGGTATGGAGATACGCCTCCACTGGTGACAATTAAAGACAATTTTGTTTTGTAATTTGACAACTTGACCATGAATCAAATCATGCTGCAGGTAAACTTGTCTTGCAGTTGGCCTAATGTCCAACTTACAAGCAACATGACGTAACGATCGTCGTGGTCCTCCTAGACCTACAGGTACATCTTAAAACAATACATGACAGAAAGCTATTATTAGAAGCAACAACATCAATCCATTCACTTGATTATAATTTTGCTCACCAATTCATGAATTCATTTCATTGCAACGATCCACAAACGGTTTCTATTGTCATGAATGACGTTTCAAGAGTGCAGTCTATACTGGCTTTAATTTGAAATGGCCGGAGTCTAAGAACATTTGGATGCTAATTTCCGATCACTCCGATGTTTATTGGAAAATACGATGAATGAACGCTTTGTTGAAATGCAACTGGAAACCACTAACTCTACTAATCAATACAGATATATGTACACTTTTTCAGCGAATTTGCAATTTTGAAAATGCTTATCTATAGAGATTATCTACAAAAGCATTTCAGATAAGAAAATAGGAATGTTCATATTTTTTTAATAATTTAATTGAGATACTGTGTGGAGCAGATTAACAATAAAATTTTATATTTGAACTTCTTCGTAAATTACTATAATAACCTCCTGAATTAAAAAATTCAGAACAAAAACATTTTTTTCCCTATTAGTATTACCGACAGAAATAACAACTGTTCTATTTTCTTGCATACACTTTAGTTCTAAAATTTAGCTAGTATATCAAAATTACTAAAGTAACAAATTTTTAATAATCTGCTCATTGTAAGTTAGTAAGTAAATGAGCAAGTTTTTATTAATGTTGTCAACACACTGCAGTTTAGTATTATAAACTGAAGTAGAAAACATATTCTCTATGATAATACAAATACTGTTGGAATTTCTTACGTGCACTGGTTGAGAGAAACAGAATTTATTCAACCTTTAAAACGGGCAACCTGACTTTTCAATTTCATGGCAGTGTATCTATTAACAAAGCTAACGTACAAACCGACGAATACTAATAATCATTTCACATTCACGGCCTATATCCAGTTAGGTTCCAAAACACAGCTGACAAATTGCACAGGAGCCGCATATTATAATTTTCATCGCAAGACACAGATGTGACTTATTTTATGTGATGCCCAATAAAAGATTGAGACACTGTGGCAATAGTGTATTTACACAGAGAATGAATCTATCAGTGAATATTCAATACAAACCAAATTAAGTACTTCCTAACTGGCAGTCCAGGACCTCGTTCCTGTTTATTGAATTTACTCCATGGGAATATTACACTAAAATGGCTTCAGCAAATTGCGAAGTAAATTAGGTAATGTGTTTCATTGGAGGATAGTCCATTTAATAATTTTGATATAAATTTAACACCCAAATATTAAAAATCAATTTAACAAGGTTTGGCCGAGTCAAGATTTATCAAGAAATCTACTCCATTAACCATCATTTTAAAATTAAAATATCTGAAATAATGTAGAATTTTAAATTAGGGAATTAAAACCTCATTGTCAAGACACACAATGAACTTTCGAGCTACACTGTAATATTTTTCTTTCCATTGTTTATATATTGAAGTTAAGTACCATCTGTCATAATAATAGAAAAAAAAATCCGAAATTAACACAATACAATATTCCATTAAAATTATTATTTTAAATACATTTTTAACAAGGAAAACACATATACTTGTATACTTCAGAAAAATGGTTACTCAGACAAATAACGGCCAGGGCAAGCAAAGAATATAGGGACAGTATAGTAATTTTAAAAACATTCCTTTTTAGAGAATTTGGAAATTATTATCAGCAGGCCAAAGAACTGCATAACCCATAAATTTACAGAAAATGCATGTGTCTAGAGAATGTCCAAGAAAAATAATAGGCCCCTAATATTTTCAATTCATTGTTAATAATAGACAAAAATTAATATACAATAAGCAATCACAAATATTTATTTTTTTAAATATTTGTTTAGCTAAATACTGATTAAATATATAAACTAAATAGTTTTTATTGGTTTAAGCATTTATAGCTAGCAGTTAAGCAATTTTTGTTCTTTTTGATGTGTGTCCACGCTACTGTAAAAAGGTACTAAAAAACAGTTTGATGAATCGGTCACTGCAAAAATAGAATGATAGAAGAAATACTTTGAGGGTATATTATTAATATACTGTACATGCCAGACACTTTGAATGGGTTAAGTTTAAAGTTACCAAATAAGGGCATAAGGCTGGAAAAAGATTTATCACCCATTAAACTACTGAAATATGACATTGATTTATCAGGAATTTAACCAGTAAATTATTCATAAATCACTAACCAGAAACACATTAATCAATGATAATAAAAAACACTAAAATTTGTAGGATCAATTAATTGGGATATCTTATCATCTTCTCAATCAAAATGGAATCCATTGAAAAGGTTAATGTTGAGAAAAAAAAAGTATGAAACTAAAATATTAATTACGAAATGCCTTTAGTTAAAAAATTTACAAAACAGTATCAAAGATTTCAAAAATACACAAGAAAGTACACCATTGAATTTGCTCATTTATTAAAATTGTGTAAGTGTGTACTGTAATCCATCTGATTGATACGCTTGCATTTCTTTCCTCAATTTAACAAATAAATATTTTAGAAGCCTAGCCTGTAAAATTCATCAAATCAAAATGTGTTAGTATATGTTATAAATATATTATAAGCAATGGTTTAACCAGTCTCAATAATAACAGAGAATTATTAATTTTATTAGGAATCTTGATGCCGATTCAAACTGTACTCATCCATACCACAGACAGATCTGGCCCTACCATGCCTGCCTCCTCTCTTCGATCGGAAATACAGTGTAAACACAACAATTATCATCCAAACAATCGTAATCAATAACTATAAATTCGGTATATAATTCAAGCGGCTTTCTCGCATTTATGTCGTCATATTAGCAAAAAAAAAACATAAGGCAATTACCAAGCTTGGCTTCTCTCTCGGCTCCGAATACTGAAAATACAAACACAATCCACTATACAAGCCTGCCTGAATGGCCGGCTGGGTCCACTCACTCAGTTTGTTTGGTTACAACAATAAATCAACCGCACACGAGGCAGACAGGAACAAACTTCCTTTAAGAAATACGAAAATCAAGTCTATACATCTCCTGTATCGGAGTATATTGTTCCTCGGTATAGTATCTCAATCACTACTTCAAAGTAAGTCCGAAATTCAGTTACATTTTTCTACTGATGAAATATATATACCAGACCGCTCGTAGTCGTAGTCACGATACACACACGCTCAGATCATAACATAATTTGACTACACCTCACCACTACTACTGACACCTCATTAGTTATGCATGATTACATTCTTTAGCTTGAGCGCTGAGAAAGGGGAGGTGGTGTGTGCATAACCAACCTATATCAATCCGCCTTTGAGATTGCGTTAGCATGTATTGTCAATGACCTTGCACCTAAACGCATCCAGAATTAATATTAAATCATTAATCTACGAAAGTACCTACACATTTGGGATTCTCTAATACTTTTTGTTTAAAATTACAGGAAATTGTCAAAGTCGGCTTTAAACGATGATTGACACCGGTATATATTTAATTAGACTCTGTATATTCAATGGCCCTCCTCCCATTTATATTGAATGTAATTGATGGAGCCATTAGAATACCACCAATCGTAATCTGTGAAGCATCGTTCGAGGCTTTCTTGTAGCATCTTCTCTGAATGTCTTGCATTAATGATCGGGCCCAGTGGGTCTCTAACGGATTTCAAGGTGTTTTGCAATTTATCTGTCATCAGATACCCAGTGTGTAATCATATTATTTTCGGCTGTGTATTTACGAATTATAATATACAGCTAGCAAAAACTCTTCATTTTCATATTACCATTGATTTACTTCGAAAATCTATAAATTTGTTACAGCCGATTTATCAATCGGGTCGAAAGAAGGAAATGCTATGGGCCGATTTATTGTCCATAGACCTAATTTGGCGAGCTTTTTTTATTTTTTCTTATAATGTTTAATATAACTTACATAAATAACAAATAACGTATATCTTAATGAATTAAATCAATATTATTAAATTGTTAATTATCTGTTATTACCAATCTTTAATGAGCGAATGATCATAGCTATAATAGCCGACATTTTTAACAACAATGTTATAATTAATAACGTTGTTTGGTGTTTTTGTATACGATACGTATACGTAATTCACAAGTAACGTTTAAATGTTGCTGATGTCATGTGTGTCAACCCTATTTTCTGACATAGGCCTATGTGTAATGTCCGATGAAAGAAACACGCTCAAGTAGGCCTAGATAAAAATCCCCTATGCCACTGGATAATCACAAGCGAACGTAATCCTGTGTTGTGTTTGCTGGGTGGTAGGCTATCCTTTATAAAATCATTTAAATTTTAAAATACTATAATTTTATAGATTATAAACGTCTTTTTTATTTCTCACATAAATTCAAATGTTAAGATTGAACTTAAAGTGGTATCTCATTCTTGACGATAGATCACATGTCAACGTATTTCATTTCACAATGAGGCATACTTTTTCTGCTTTATATTATTCGGTGGGGGCGCAATATTCGATGGTCTATACGCGTGATGATCATTGTTTATAGTCTTCTTATGGTAGAGCTTGTCACATACAAATGCGATTCCATGGTCGAACAAAACAAATCGCTTAAAATTAAGAAAAAGGGAAGATCGTCCGACAACAAACAGACACAAGCTTAGTCTGAAACAAAAATTAATCAGCCCATTCCCTCAACCATAATTTGAGGCATACTGTTCAGAAATTGCAATATTCGTTTGCGTTTTGAGATCGTCGTGTGTTAAAACTGTTTATAAAATTGTATATTTTCCAACCAGGATTTTCAAAACTGAGCGTCCGAAATCACTCACTACGCCGTGATCCGTGCGCGTCGTCTTTTGGAAGCTCTAGGAACGCCTACATATTATCTGGCTAACTTTATTCCTTGAGCATTGCATACTTATTAACCAGCGAATCGATATTCTGACTATCGTCCCTGTTTACCCATGTCCTTCAACAATATTATTATTTTTCTTGCCTTCGGTGATTATCCGCACGCAGACATCGATATACTAAAGAGATAGGTCTAAGCATGGACGTTAAAAGCAACTCTGAACTCTAAACTGGAAGAATACAAATAAGGCAAAATCATAATATTATACAATTTGATTCAAATCATGGTGTTTCACTCTCCATATGAGTAACTGCTTGTGCCGCATGCCAAATACAAGTACACCATGGTTTCGTTATTTTTTTTTATTAAATTCAATGAAATACGTATTCCCTCGTCTAATTGACTTTTCACGCAATGTCAATAAATCAGCAACTAACTAACCAATCAGAACAGGGCTAGGATTACATGCTTGTCCCACGAACACAAACACGTGTTGGTTCTCTACAAACGCACGTGTCTACGTATACGCTTTTTATTGCCACAATATTCGTATGGATGGCGGGGCTTAGCAGAACGGTCCGTTGTGTTTGAATTGACATAGGGCCTTAGTGTCGAAATTTTTTGTTGATTTTGAGTTCGAGGTTTATCCGATTAATATATAATTATCACTGACTGGTTTGCTAATTTCCTAAATAGAAGCATATAAAGACCATTTGGAGGAATTCTATTTAGAGACCACCATGATTAAACCCCAATCCCAAAAAGTGGTCTTAATTGGAGAGAGCCTGTAAGCGCTTACTGCATACTATAGAGGGCGGACTACTACTAAAACTATTCTAAAACTATTTAACTTAACCTGGCCGTCATTACTGAACACAAATTCTCTGCTTTAATTGTGAATGTTTTGAAAGATCAATTATGGACATGATTGTACAGTGGATAAATGCCCGGAGCGTTTCTTGTTAAGGGTAGAGTTTTTGATGGAGCGTTTATTCGATAGAGGCACTTATTCGAAGGAAGCGTTTATTTATTTATTTTTTGTGTCAATTTCGTATACAGTACAGTGGCGGATCCAGGGGGTTCAAGGGGTTCGGAGGAACCCCCTCTGTGAAGAAACGTAACAAAATACAACTGGTTCCTGGCTTACAAAAGACATGGTAACCTACCTAGGCATAGAAAGATCAGACAAACTAGGCTTAATCCAACTAGTTTCAATTAAATAAATATACACACTGTTTTTGGTGCGGCCGTCTTAATAATTTATGTACGAAAGTGCGTTCTTCAGACCTATCGGTTCATCGATCCATGGAAGAAAGACTACATATCTAACTACTCAATGTTGTTGGAATATAATAATATTGCCTGTCTTTGATTTTTTCCCTCTATGATAGGCCTAAAGAATGAGATAAAATTACCTGACCTTTTTTCAAGAGGGGAAAACCTTTTGAAGAACTTAAAGGTCATTAAAAGACTCCTCAGAAGTCGGGAAAGCTCGTTTCCGGCCATCTAGGAAGATTCGCCCCCCCCCCCCCCCCTTTCATTTTGGGGTTTTTTTTTTTGGAACGTTTTGAACTCCCCTCTTTTAAATTCTGGATCCGCCCCTGCAGTACTCAATAACCGCTCCTTAATTTTAACTGTAAGTTGTTTACAACACATAAACTATCAAAATGTGTTATTGCATGATTAAAAAAGACTTATTGATCCCAACTAGGTTAGAAAAAAATGTAATTCTACTCGAGTGGGAATGTTCATAGAATGTTTTGAGAATGGTTGCTTTCATTAATTGTGTTTACAGCCATTATTTCGGAGTAGGAACAAATAAACGCCCGGGTCGTTACTGATCAGGGAGGCGTTTATTCGATCGAATAAATACGGTAACTTACTAGGATCATCATTTGTACAGATATTTGTTATAATACATAAGTTACTATGTAACAAATAGACAAACATATTTAAATATTTTATTTTATTTATAATTTTTTTTTTGCTTTCTTATAAATTAGGCCTTCGCGAAAAAATATTTCATAAGAATTATTTTTTTTCCAGTTGACTGTTGAATGTTGGCACTGGTCAGTGGCGGAATGTATCTAGGAATTGGTGTTGTTTGAAACGGTGTTGAGAGGTCATGTTAGCAAATATTATGATTCTCTATTCGTGAGTGCCTTCCAATTGTTCATGCTTTGATTCGTGCTGTTTTGAATACTAAAGACGCCTCATTACCGTACTGTATAGAATTCAGAATTTTGTAATACGCCTACTAGCAACATAAATTTTTAGTTCTCTTCTTCATCAACGAAAAAATATTATTGTGTATTAAGTACCTGATGTCGTCTCCTTAGGGCATTTGATGTTCTCCAAAGATCTTATAAACACAAGATAGCGTTCTCCGCGATTTACGCGTAACAAATAGAAGCGTCGGTCAAGGTTCAAAAGTTTCCCATTTAGCAAGAGGGCGTCATTCATGCGCTATTACCGAAGAGAGATCTTTGCCGAAGAGAAAAAGTAATAAGTTTTTGAAGAGGGCGTCCTATCTGTTGCCATGGATCTGAATTGGTTCCTGTTCTGCTGTTCACAGGCGGTGTACTGTATGGTCAGATCAGAGCGGTCAAGGGTCAAAAGTTTCCAATTTAGCAAGAGGGCGCCATTCATGCCTTATTACAGAATTTGCACGCGTAAATCCCGGAGAACGCTATCTTGTGT